GAGGCACAAAAAAATATAATAAATTCTACTCCTCCTACTAATGTCTTAATTCCTCCAAGCTGCTCATACCAACTTCCAAACCAACTACTTAGGTTATACCCATTCCAGACCTGAGTAGGTACATGCACAAATTTAACCATGTGGCTTGTAAGTTCAGCCACTGCCTGCCCTTCATCATCTATGTGCAGACAACAGTTACTTAGATTAAACTTTCCGCATACACCTCCTTCTACTGCTAGTAAGTAATCAAGGGCTAGCCTATTCTGGTATATGGCTGATCACATCTTGGTATTTTGCTTAGCTAGAAGATTAAGCACTTGAGCTGTCTCATTAATAATAATCTCAACTACCGCCTGTAGTCTAATAATGCGGTTGAGCATATATAATCGGAGTTCTATATCCATAAGTGCCATCTTCTGCCCAAGTAGCAGGTCCATAATAATTAATAATACGTTGAGGGGGCCACTCATTATCTTCCCAGCTACCTATATTCAAGGATGCTCTCTCCCTTTTATGATTTACATCGTAAACCTTAACTCCCAAGGTCTCTCCTGTTTCGATCGGCAACAAGAAGGATGGCTTTGGCATACCTAATACACATGCCCCTTCCCAATCTTGTGGTAACTCCGAATAAGTTTTATTACCACAAATCCAGTATAAATTTGCTGGGGCTTTCCAACTAGATGTAGCCGATAAGTCAAACCATACCTCCTTTAAATGAGTGTAATTGGCAAACGGATTAGTAGGTTCCGAGACATTTGAAGCTGACCACCAAGTAGTATTTTTAGTATTAACATTATAGGCTTTTTGTCCCAAGCAAGTTAGCTCACCTACAGACGTGTTATACATTGTCCCTTTCCTGGCTATACAAACATGACCTATAATGGAGGTTTTTAACCACCATTCTGATTTACTTCTAGTACTTACTTGATGATCAGACTGGAAAGGTATCTGTTGTTCATATGTCTCAGAGCCAGGGTACCATATTTCCTTTGCCTCCCATGGCCACTGGTCTCCCATATTAGTACCTCCACACACATAGCAATTAGTTACATTAAGACTACCTGCAATACCCTCAGCCAAATCAATAAATAGGTTGTTAACATTATGGGGAATTTTATCCTCAATACTCATCTCCTCATAGAAGGAATGAGAAACCTGATGAGTTTGAGTTGCCACTGTCTCAGTTTCAAGACCTACATATATTATTGTTCCTGGATCTACTCCTGTGCCATATATTTGGAACCCAAACAGACCTCCAAACCTGTCAATAAAGTACTGCAGATTGGAAATGGTCATGTGAACGGGGTTACACACATAGTTTTACAGTATGGTGTGGTAGGCAACCTTTGGATAATCATATCTTGATCCACTGTTTTTCCCAGGTTGCCCAACCTACACATGACCAATAGGGGCAGAAGTTAGTCTCTATTTGGGCAATCAGGATCAGTAGATCTTTTACTGGGACATAAGTATTTATCATTAAACCCATAAGTTCGTTCCCATTTAAGATTACCACATACATTCCAAAGTCTTCCACTACCCGAAATCGCCTTACATGCATCAAATAGTAGAATACCCGTGGAATGTATGGTGCTTATCACAGTCCTATTTATTAATGTCCCCTGGGAGTTACTATTCCGAATTACCAACCAAATTGTACGGGGTTGGAAATGGGGATCAAAACATTTAGACTCTCCTGATATTGGCTTGCACACACTATAATCAATATCCAAATATCTACATTTAGATACAGATCCCTTACATTCATACTGTGAGTGCCAGATGAGAGTTTGGGATATTTGGTTACCTGTTTTAGTAGTCTTAATGCAACTATCGCAATTCGGTATGTCTGTACTCCTACCTTCCTGAAAAATCATAAAAATACTAAGACACAATAAAACACATTATTCCTGAAATCCTCATTTTTCTTCGACCGTGCGATGGCCTCTCAGCTTCCCGATTGTGAGGGCTGCAAGGATGTTGTTCTTCTGATCCTCACTTTCCTTCACAGAGATCCCTTCAAGATACTCTGGCTATGACACGTAGGCAGGTGGTCAGGCTTTATTATGGCCGTCAAAACACCTACTTGATGATCTTTGTAGACTTTTAACTAGAATGTCTCGATATCCCCTCGTCACTCCGACTGAGTTGCACGCTTCAACCGGGTCCTGCAAGGATTCTCAGGATCTGGAGTAGCTTGCCAAGAGTCTGCCGCTGGTTTAACCTTAGAATGATGAATCCAAGGAGTCACTTCCGCCACCTTTACAGCTGTTGGGGTAGATAAAAGAACAACATACAAAGGCTAACAGGATACACCCCGAGCTTTAACTCAATATGTATTGGTGGGATATTACGAACAAGTCCTGGAGGATTATTTTCTTCCCATACTCCTGGAATGTCAAATAAGGATTCATCACTTTTAGGGTTAATACTTGTCACTATGGAATAGAAGCATCATTCTTCTTCCCTTGGCACCGATATCGCCATTATGCCTGGTAATCTCTTAAACTTCAGAGATGTTGATCCATTAGGTAAAAGGTTATCTGAGCTTAAAGCTTCGATAATAGATCTCGTCCTAAAAGTTGAATCGGACACTCTGGCATATATAGGAACTAATGCTTCACCACATGGCCTCCCAGAATACAAGTGCGACTCTTAAGAACCGGTCTAGCTGCACTTCTCCCAGTAGCTCCTATCACAGTTATAGTCTTCCCCGAAGGCGGAGCCACCATCTTAGTCACCACAGAATGTTCAGCACCCCTGTCGATCATGAAAGAACTTCTCTTTCCCCCTATTGCTACATCGACCATAGGCTCCGCTCGACCAAGTGGGATGGAGCCCGGTCGGTATCAATAGTCTTCCATGATAGTATCAGCCAGACCCACAAAATCTCTATCCTCTCTTTCTCTAGGTCTCTGCGTGGGTGGATAGTATCTGTCTCCTTGAACACTTCCTCTACTATTCCCACCATTCCCTCTAAAACTTCCTCTTCTTCTATAACTACCACTATAACCTCCTCGTACCCTTCTCTCTCCTTGTCTATCACCTTGATACTGCTCTCTCTGTGGACACTCACTCTTCCAATGTCCCTCCTTTCTACAATACGCACATTAATTCCTACTTAAAGGTCCCTTGCTCAGCCTATTCTCGTCTCCTCTATTCACTTCCCTGTCTTTCTACACTTAAGATAGCTACCGCTAGCATATCTGCCTTTTTCCTCATTTTACGTTCTTCCTCCGTCTCCCTATTCATATATACTGTATTTGCAATCTCCATTAGCTGTAATATGGACATCCCTGCAAATCCCTCTAATTTCTGTAATTTCCTTTTACTATCACCTTGGGCCTGGCTGACAAATGCTGAGTCTATCATTCGGAAGTTTTCAGGGGCTTTGGGATTGAAAGGAGTGTACAATCTATTTGACTCAAGCAGTGTCTAATATGGGACTTCGACAAGGCTGCTCAATAATAGGTTCCAGTCTAGGAGTAGTAAGATAGGTGTAAGGGGGTGAGCTAATTTTATTAGTCAGCATTTGGTGGATGAAAAAACGTTTTCTGTTTTGTTTTTTTTAAAAGTGTTAAACCAAAAACCTACCAATAGGTGTCACCAGAGGGTAATTGTATCAAAATAATCTTTATGGGTCTAATAAGAAAACTTAACTTTTAATATATTTATACATAAAATAAAACCTTATAGCAATAAATATATTAAAATAGGGTAAGCAATCCTACTTCTATCTGTTATAAACAATGTATTATCAATGTAACTCCCGAAGATGGCCAGTAGGTGGCCTAGAGTGCCTCCCTAAAGTCTAATCAAGCAAATAGACTTTAATTAATTATGTCCCTATTTTATTATTACTTATTTTAATCACTGTCCACCCTGATATCTAGGCTTGATTAAATCTTTAGTTCTAAGGTAAATTAAACATTTCAGTTTGTAGTTTAGTAAAAGGGGACATTTTGGACAAAGCTGGGAGGGGCCCATCCAGTAACTAAAAAAAAGACCATATACCATCTGCAGTGGCGTACACACGACCCCTGGGGCCCCGGTGCGAAAATTGATCCGTGGGCCCCCCGCGCGCGCGGGCCGGACCGCAACACATGGCGGTGGGCACCTGGTCGCAGGGGTTACAGGGCTGCGACCCCTGCGACCGCGGTATGTACGCCAGTGCATGCAGATGCACACACACTTAAAGGACCACTCTAGGCACCCAGACCACTTCAGCTTAATGAAGTGGTCTGGGTGCCAGGTCCAGCTAGGGTTAACCCATTTTTTCATAAACATAGCAGTTTCAGAGAAACTGCTATGTTTATGAATGGGTTAAGCCTTCCCCTATTTCCTCTAGCTGGCTGTCTCATTGACAGCCGCTAGAGGCGCTTGCGTGCTTCTCACTGTGATTTTCACAGTGAGAGCACGCCAGCGTCCATAGGAAAGCATTATGAATGCTTTCCTATGTGACCGGCTGAATGCGCGCGCAGCTCTTGCCGCGCGTGCGCATACAGCCGACGGGGAGGAGAAGAGGAGGATCGGAGGAGGAGAGCTCTCCGCCCAGCGCTGGAAAAAGGTAAGTTTTACCCCTTTCCAGAGCTGGGTGGGAGGGGGCCCCTGAGGGTGGGGGCACCCTCAAGGCACTATAGTGCCAGGAAAACGAGTATGTTTTTCTGGCACTATAGTGGTCCTTTAAAGGACCACTACAGACACCCAGATCACATCAGCTCAATGAAGTTGTCTGGGTGTCAGGCCCCTCTAGTTTTAAACCTGCAGCTGAAAACATAGCAGTTTCAGAGAAACTGCTATGTTTCACTGAGGGTTAATCCAGCCTCTAGTGGCTGTCTCACTGACAGCCGCTAGAGGAGCACACTGAACGTCCATAGGAAAGCATTGAGTAATGCTTTCCTATGGGCGGTTTGAATGCGTGCGCGGTCGCATTCGGAGCTGAGAGGCTGAGGGATCCCCAGCGCCAAGGGAGTCCGGCGCTGGAGAAAGGTAAGTGCTGAAGACACACACACTCTCACTTACAGACGCATACACACTAGCTAACAGACACACACATTTACTGACAGAGACACAGTCAGCGACAGACATACATACACACTCACTTACAAAACATACACTCTCATTGACAAACACACACTCACTAACAGACATCAAACAGACTCACTAACACACACACACTCAGTAAGACACACACAGTAACACACTCACTGACACTCACTAGCAGACACACACACACACACACTAACACTCACTAGCAGACACACACACTAACACTCACTACCACTCACACACACTAACACTCACTAGCAGACACACACACTAACACTCACACACACACTAACACTCACTAACACTCACACACTAACACTCACTCTAACACTCACACACACTCAAACACTAACACTATTTTTTTTTTTTTTTTAATTTAATCCCCCCAGCCTCCTTACCTTTTGGAGTGCTGGGGGGATTCCCTGGGGTCCAGTGCTGCTGCTGCTGGGCGGGTGGCCGGTCCGGCTGGCGGGTGCGCGAGGAAGCACTCAGTGCTTCCTCTTTCAGCTCGCGCGCTGCTGATGCCGGCGCCGGAAGATGACGTCATCTTCCGGCTCCGGTATCATTGCGGTGCGCGAGGGAGCTGAAGAGGGAGCACTCAGTGCTTCCTCGCGCGCCCGCCTGCCGGACCGGCCACCCGCCTGCCTGGGGTCAGCAGGGCCAGCCTCGGGGGGCCCTGGGGTGGTCGGCTCCTGGCCCTCCAGGGGAAGAGGCTGGCCCTGGGCGTACATACCGGGTCGCAGGGGCGGCCGGGCCCCCTGGTGGGCCGGGCCCGGTCGCAGCCGCGACCCCTGCGACCCTGGTATGTACGCCACTGTACACAAGCTAAATATGAGCAGGTGAATCACAGAATATAAAGAGCTCAGGCAGGTTACCTTCCCAAAGAAGAAATACCAAAGACCACCTTTATAAACAGCAAGGACAATGAAAGGAAAAGAGCACTGTTTTAAAATGATACATACATGCTGTCACGAACGCACCCTAATTCAAGAGTATGCATGACATAGTTGTGGTGGTGAAAGGGTAAAGTTCACTATTTGTCTGCACTAGTCCGTAAATAATGACAAAACACCACCCACACTTAAACATAATAATATACCTATTACTATTTTAACTCTGCCACCATCAAGACAATTTATAAATGGGGTGCCTTGGTACCCCAGGTAAACTTAATAATAAAATCCCACCAAATACAACTTAGCACAATATTTAAGGAATTGCAAAAATACTAATTAGTCTCTGCAGGTAACGTGATTCTTAATCAACCAAAGGCAGAACTTAATATTTATTATGAGCAAAAAAATAGTCACAGTGCATACAAAAAATAGATGAAGAAAATAATTATTTACACCAACAACAGATAAAAACAAAAGGGGTAAAATAACAGAAAGTCCTAATCACTTACTCAGCTCTTCAAAGTAAATACTTCTGCCCCAGAGGGATTCTGGTATGAAGGATGGTGACTCACTTAGAATTAGATTCTGGTCCCAAGCAAGCACAATGCACATATCAGTCTCAATGTAGCCTCTGGATTACCCAGAGGTGGAGCTAAGGCGTATCTACAGAGACCCTAAGTGACCAGCCAAACATTTGGCTCTATCTTCTCTTATGTACCTGCCACATAAATAATAATTGCATCTACGAATTTGTTATTATTTTCCCATTCTATAGATATGTTGCACAACGTACTTTTGACCCAATATGCCGGACATCACAATTCATTCCCCTATGGTCAAGTTATGCCACTCATGTTTGGGCTTGTTCACATTCCAAATATAGCAAAAATTAGGCTTAATTTCTATTCTGTTGATAAGTATTAATGTTTTTTTCCTTTTGGATATGATACTGGAACAAGGCTAATGACCATTAACATAAGAGGATACATAAGAGGTGCATTCCATATGCCTGAAGCCAGACCTTCAGGTTTGTCAGGTGCAGAATCTAACACCTTGCAGCTTTCACATTCCTGTGCAATTTACATTACCCCTTCTGTCATCTGATCTCTGTGGGGGTCCCAGCTTCAAAAGGAATTAAGACTATACACCTTCCATACAATCAAATTAACCCCTTTTGGCATTGCCATTATTCCATCTTTACCAGGCGAGAAGATTATCTATGCAGTACACAAATTACATTAAAGGGCAATATTCCATAGTGCAAATATAAGTTATGCACACTTGCCGTGACACATGCATAGACATACACCAACACACAGTCACATTCATTCATAGACACACATAGCAATTACAAAGTATTTAGAGGTGGGAAGCAGTGAAGTTGTGCATTGGCTCACACAGTTTACTTCCAGCTCCTCTCTCTGGCTTCTCAGTAATAGGTAGCAGTGATGGTATATTATTTTGCATCTTGGCACCAGTTGCCTTTACCAGTGACCGGTAAGAGGGATGTAGGAGAATAACTTTATTGTGAATATAAAACAATTAAAAATAAAATTATAAAATGTATTGTCCCTACAGTATCACCTTATGTTTAATTATTTTATATTCACAATAAATTTGTTTGTACTTACGTTGGAGGCTCCTTCTCCAGTCAACATTTGGTAGCCGAACCGGGAGTTTATGACACCGAAGCCTGTAAAGACACCCTGGGACCTGTAACACTAATGGAGTTAAGGCCTGATACAGCTCTATACAGTGTGAGTGTGATTTCATTAGAATTTGCTACACTTTTATACGTTTCTATGAAAGCTCTATGCTGTGTTTTTATATTGTATAGATTATCCTGGTTGGCATACATACATTGGTATTTTGTGTATGTTTTCACTTACAGTGTACCAACTTGTTTATATTTTGCTCATGTGTATCATTTGCTTTAATTTCTCACCAAAAATTGGATTGTTTTAGTTTGGTGAAGTTACATCCACATATCATTGACTCAAGAGATGTGTTTGTATCGTCAGGACCGAATTAACATAGGCCTGATGGAGCTGCAATTTTTTTTGTTTTTTTACTAATCTTCACATGCTCTTGCTGAAGCATGGAAACGTAAGAGAACAAAGCTGGTGTGGACTAGCTGACAATGAAATTAGTTAAGGTAAAGCTGACTTTGCGCACTATGCAAATGTTCTTGCTGCCTCAGTCTCTCTAACACTGTGGCATGTTCCCTTTTTTCTATTCTCACTACATACACTTTTTCTCTGTCCTAGACTGTATAGCAGGAGATTCTGCCTGCTAGTAAGAAGGTTAGGAGAGGAGTGGACTAAAAAGGGTTAGGGGATAGTCCTTATAAAGTGTAGAGCTAGTGCATCATTAGACTCATTTATACCAATCTGAAGGTGCTGTCTGCACAGTATGCCCTTGGTAGGTCATCCTGCATTATTGGCAGGCTGCCTGACGTGCATTCATGCCAATCTGATCATCTAATTATTTGTGCAGACACAACACCTTTTTGAACATGTTTGTCCCATTGAGCGGTTAAGTGATTGACGTCAGTGGCCCACCCTTTTACCCCGCCCACCGAAATCCTGCTACACCGGACACTGCTGTTAGGGGGTCTGGATTTACTTAAAATATTTAAACTAGAGATTAATAGGGTATGTGTCCTCTTATAGTTACAGTTACATGACACTTGGGAGGTATAACTGTTTTAGTGTTTTCTATCAAAAAGATTCTGTAATAAATAATTGTCAGCACCAGGCCCAATGGGCTCTTAATCTGGCCCTGTGTATCGTTTGTTCTGCACGCACGCAAATTCATTAGCTTATTTTCAAGGTTTTGTTTCATAAGATGAAATTTATTTTCAGTGTGACTGAAAGTGGTTCCATTAATGTGTTGATAAATCTTTCACGTGTGCTTAAGTTTGACTGCCTAACATAAGAAGACATAGATCCAATTTTTCTGCAAACCAATAATATAGAAATATGGTCAAATATATTGCAATGGTGTAATTGTGATGACATCACTGGCAGCCACTAACATATCATTAATTATCTAAAGACATATTGTGATCAACTTAGGTATTTATTATTTTATAATTTATTTAACGGGAGCACCCCAGACGTCGTGTCTGCATATGCAGTATTGGCCTTCACGTTTAAAATGAACAACCTGATAAGTTGTTCAATCAAGTTAATGTCAATTACAAAAACTGGGAGTCTGAGTATACCCAGTGGCTCTTTAGAGATTGAGGCCAGTCCTAGACAACCTTATTGTTTTAATATGATGCTTTCACTTACAATTGACCCTTTTGTGCTATTGATCTCAGAAACCACTTCTCAAAAAGCCTTTTCCAGTGTGAATTACAGCAGAGGCAAACTCATTACCTCTCAGAGACAATTAATTTTCAATATCTTTCTCTTAGTTATAAAAAAGTCTAAATGGAGCCATGAATCTTAGTGCGAGCAAAGTAATACATTACCCATGTTCCAATTTCTCAGGGCTTAGATACCATGGTCATGCTTTCACTTGGCAGATGCTTTGTGCGCCTACCCTTTTATGCCCATTTCAATACCTTTGTTCTTGCTACTAGGAAATTCGGAATAGCTTCTGCAATTCCGCTGGCTCTCTGTACTGTAATTTAAAAGAAGATAAGGAAAGTAGAGAAGAATACTCTTAAAAGAGCGAGCAGATGTAGTACTCTCTACTGTAATATAAACCTTAACACTAATGGAGTTAAGGCAGTAAAATGTGTTCTTGAAAGGTAGCTGAAAAAAAGAAGCTGGAAAAGGTCACTGTGTTTTTTTCTCCTTGCTAGATTGGTCTTCAGAAAATAACATCCTTAAGACGAAATATCCATATATTTTTGCACAAAAGCACTGCAGGGAAGCTCTTGATGTATGATAAAAGGTAAGACAAGGTAACAATGAACCTAGACATATTCTGCCTGGGCACCATATATTGTCAACATATTTACTTGGAACACTTTGTAGTTTTAACATATTTAAAGGGACAAGTAAATAAGACAAACAAAAAGTGCATATTTTATTTTTATACTTGTGAGACATCGCTTCTTTTGTTAATAAGAGTAGAAGAATTCTAAACACATAGACCTCACTTACATCTTCTCTCTTTCACTGCTGAAGCTATAAATAAAACATAGCATTTTGGAGGAACAGGAGAAGAAATACAACATATGCATTTCCAATATATATATGTATATATCTATATATATTGCTCCACACCACCACAAATGTAAACAGCATACACAATATATAAAAGGTGCAATATTCAGGTTAAAGGAACACTATAGTGTTTATATATTTATACATGCCCCCCCCCACCCCACCTTTTTTGCAATAAAAA